AAACTTTCGAACTTTCAATCTTCGAGGCTTCAAACTTTCAAATTTCCTGGGTTTCAAATTTTCAAGTTCCAAACTCGCGCCAGCTTTCGAACTCGAAACTCTCAAACTTTCAAACTTCAAACTCTTCATTCTCCAAACTTTTCAAACTTTCAAACTCTCGAATCCCGTCCAACATGTACTACGTTCAAACTCTCAAAGATTCGAGTTCGAAAAAACCCACTCGTGACACCTCTCAAACATGAAACAAAGGGAGGCTGCCTTGAAGTGACCCACACTGTGAGCCTGGCGGATGTGAAAGGCAACATATCAAAATGGAAACCTTCGGCTATGAAAGAGTTCAACAACCTCACCCAGTCCAAGGGAGCTTTCACTGTGAAGAAACGACATGAACTACCAGCAAACTGCAGAATTGTTCCTTGTAAGGGCGTCTACACCGTGAAGCCAGACAAATCCTCACCGGGCTACAGGAGAAAAACCAGATTTGTGGCATGTGGAAACCATGTACCCGAAGATGCAGCGTGTTTGGACTTGTTCGCCAGTGGACTTGATGCTACCTCATTGAGGACGATGCTGGCATTCAATGCCAAGAAACCGTGGCGCATTGGAACTACGGATGTGAGGCAGGCTTTCGTCTTGGCAGGATGGAAAGGAGATCCAGTTGCTCTAGAACCACCAGGAATTGCTTTCGCCTTAGGGCTGGCTGAGCCTGGAGACTACTGGTTTGTAGAAAAAGCTCTTTACGCCTGAGAGAGTCCCCAGCCCTTTGGTCCATGTTTCGTGATGAACAGTTGCGAATGGCTAGATGGGAGATGACCTTGGAAGGGCAACCTACAACAATAAAAATAGAGCAGTTGGTATCCGACAACCATGTTTGGAAAATTGTACGGGAACAAGGAGGAGAAGAGATCTACGGCTATGTCCTGGTGTACATCGACGACCTCCTGATCCATGCACAGGAGGAGGCAATGCACGGTTTCTTCAAGTGGGTATCCTCTAAGTGGGAGGTTGATGATTTGGACGTTCTCGTACGACCACCCGATAAGGTTCCTGGGAATGGAAATGCACCGACTTGCCAATGGGGTTGAGTTGGCTCAAGAGGGCTTTGTGAACGAGATCCTCCGGGCACACAACCACAAAGGGGGAAGGTCTCAATCCCAGGGACCAAAGGAGACCCTTCTTCTGAGTGACGAGGAGGAGAGGGCGTTGATCGAGGCGGAGCAGATCTCAGTGGACCAGAAAAACCCGGCGGTCAAGGAAGCGCAAAGGGGAGTTGGAGAGCTCTTATGGTTAATGGGCCGTACGAGACCGGATATACAACACACAGTGTCTATTATGGCATCGAGGATTACAAGGTGTCCAGAAATGGTCAATCGAGTGGGCGAAAGGTTGCTTGACTACTTGAACGAGACGAAGTTCTACCGTTTGGGCCTTACGCAGGACGCCGAGGAGGTGATCCCGGAGCTACATGTCTACACGGACAGCTCGTTCGCGCCTAGCGGCGGACGGTCTCAAGGAGCGGCTGTGGTTTTTCTGGGCTCTAGTCCTTTGGTGTGGAGGGCAGGGAGGCAACAACTGGTCACCTTATCTACCGCGGAATCGGAGTTGTTGGAGACTGTGGAGGGAACTCAGTTGGGCCTTTCTACAAGAGGCTTTGTCACGGAGATCAGTGGCAAGGAGCTTCCAATCGTGGTTTGGGTTGACAACAGTGCAGCAGTCTCCCTCCTCACCACAAGCTCAGGTTCTTGGAGAACTCGGCACTTGAGGTTGAGAAGTAACTGGGTTCGTGAAATGGTGAACCGACTGGAGCTCTATGTGAAGTTCACTCCAGGAGAATTTCAGCGGGCAGATCTTGGAACCAAACCTTTTACAAGGGAGAGACTACGCCAGTTGGTCAAAATGTGGGGAATGAAAGACAGAAGAGAACAAACTGATTCAAGGCAACAAAAGAAGATGGGTGTGGAAGCATCATGCCTGGGTCGACTTCTACTTCTTTGTCAAGTTTGTGGTTCGGCAGCTCAGAAACAGGACATCAAGGCCGAGGTTCCGTGGGACTTGTATTTGGTCATATTGGTCCTTGCTGTAGCTGTTATTGCTTTGTGGGAAGGGATAAAGCACTGCTGTGGCGAACGGGGAGCCAAAGTGAAGGCTCTTAGAGCGTCGGCTTCGCGGGCCTCCAAGGGCAAGTTGACTCGTATTGAGTTAAAGGAGTTGCAGTTGCTGATGACCTATGATCCAAAGGACCTTACCGAAGAGCAGAAAGAAAGGCTTTGCGACTTGAAGGAGAAGTTTGATGACACTATGCCAACGGGATGTTCTCCTGTACCTCGCTTTCCAACGGATGATCCTCTAGTGCCCTCAGGTACAGATCAACCTTCCTCCTCTTCGGCATCATCCTTTACGCCGGGGAGGAATAAGCAACCAAAGCCAAAGGAAACAAGGGATCAGTCCACTCAGGCTGATTACCAACCGGCCTTTACCAGAGTTCCTCCCGCACCACCACCCGTGAGAGAAGTCGTTGCGGGCCCATTCTACCAAGTACCGGGACGAGATCACTTACACGTTTTCCGTGAATGCTGGGGTCTGAGGAATGCCGGCAATGTTCAACGTGTGACGTTGTGCCGATGCTGCTTAGAGAATGGCGGCAATCGCATCTATTAGTGATGCATCCCTGGCGGTCGCACCAAGGAGGAGTGCAGAAAACTCTAGCCGCCTTCATGTATAGCAAGCTCTTGAGTGCCGGGAACCAGCTTAGCATGTGCAGAACGCTTTGCAGAACCGGTTGTGATGAATGTTCTGGTTCTAGTCTGTGAAGAAGTTCGAGGCGAGCGAACCAAGCAGCCTAGATGACCAAAGAGCCCAATATGGGCTATCATGATAGCAGCTTATGCATAGGACAGACAGTCAGGCATGTGCTGTGGTCGCAAAAGTTAGGACTTCTTTCGTGCATGGTCTGTGGCGCAGCCTTCGTCTGCATAAGTCCCCGACCCAACAACGTGAAGTTTGTGTTCGAAGAGTATCTTTAATTCTTTACGGTCTCACTTCGGAAAACATTCAGAGAAATACCAAGGCGCGGCCACTGCAGAAATCTCATGCATAGATTGCATGTGTTTTGATCTGTGAGGCAGGATAGAAGCCAGGTGCGCAGTGATTATCCCGTGGTCGACACAGGAGGATTCAATTCCTTTCTGAGTCGCACTGCATTTTCTGGGACACATGCATCTCTCTGCTTATGACTATGCCACTTTGTCCATGAACGCCTGTCTTTTTTTCACAGGGTCTTGATCGATGCCTCTTTTACTGTCGTGACTTGTGATTCTCATTGTGCACAGACTGCACAGACTGATGTTCTCGGCCTGCGGGCTATGCGGCTATGTTTCTTTAAGCTATTGTGGGTTTGGGGAGCGGGTCGGGGTGGCTGCGTTCTGGGAAAACCTAAACCCTAGAACTCATGGCAACCCTTGTCCCTGCGAGATCTGGAACGACGTGTATCCATCGCCCTTTCGGTGTAATTCCCCAGATCGCTGGGCATCGGCATAGCTGTCGCTTTCGGAGTTTGCCAAGAAGCAGCAAAAACACAGTGCCAACATCATTCCGGTCTCAAAGCATGCAAGACTGGAAAGCCTTGTTTTTTGAGAGAAACAGTCCATCCAACATCGAAAATCTGAGCAAAGGCATCTCCTCAAGTTTCGTTGCTTGCTGCGAGAAGCGCATCTTGTGTTCGCCAGAGTGCAGATCTGCAAAGGCGACTCTGCTTGTCTGTATGTGCTCTGTATGTGCCCGGCGTGTGAATATGAATGCATGTATGTATGTTTTATATGTTATGTATGGTATGCATGTATGTAGGTATGTTATGTATGTATGTATGTATGTGTGTATGTATGTATGTACGTATGTATGTATACATGTATGTACATGAGTATGTGTATATGCACATATACATTTGTGGGGTATGTATGGACGTACATATGTACACATATATGCGCATCCAGGCCTACACTCATACACAGTTGTATGCGAAGTAATTCAATTTTGTGTACGGACCACTCTAAATAGCTAGATGTAGATAGGTGACGCGAAGCCAGAGAAGCTGAAAATACTTATTCGACTTATTCTGGTCCGGCTCACAGACCCTACGGAGTCAAGCTTACAGATCCCAGAGTCCCAGACTCTTGGGGCTTGCTGCACGGAAAGGGGCAAAACAGAACAGCATATGAGGGCCTCCATTTTTGGACTTTTGTTCTTTTGCCCTGCCCTCCCCTACTTCCCCGCGCCAGCTTGACCGCCCCTAAAGCAGTAATGTGTGATTTTCAATCCTTTCGTTTGCGGATCGCATGGAACAAAAATGCAATCCGTGGTAGAATGCACCATGCTAGTCGTGTGAAGTCTATGCGCAGTCTTTCAAGTCGTTTGAGCCACACCGTGAACTGCATCTGTTCTCCGAGCCCTTGGGGACAACCTTGTCTCTGTGGGCTTCTCGAAAGAGTTGCCCCTCGTATTCTGAAGAAATGTGAAGGACACCTGTCAGCATCTTCGCGGCTGAAATGCACGCCTGACTTCCATCACGTGGCACATGGCGACGCGTGTGGACGAAACTATGGTGTTGAAAGTCTCCTGAGGCAGAGCGATGATATCTGATATCACCTGTGCATGGCAATGCTGTGCATCTTCTGTTGCTTGACCTTTGTGTTGGACATTGGCGGAGTGGCACACTGTGGCGGTTATGAAATTACCAACTAAGCCAGCCGAAACTCAATAGTCCGCATCACCTTACTGAAGGTGAGGTGGCTTGTGAGATGCAGCCTGGGAAGTGCCGGCCGATCACCGTTCCGGTTGTGAGGTTCCCCCTAAGCCCACTGTTTTCTACGAAATTTATCAAGTTCGCAGCTCGTTTTTTGCAGCAGCTTACTAATAGCTTGTGCTTCATGGCCCTCAGCTTCCTCCAGTGTGCAGGGCAGCTGAGAGCAAAAATAATGCAGAGAGAAGTTATGCTGCGATCTGAGGTTTACCATTATGGTGCACGGCAAGGTTGCACATCATGCATGGAATCACGTGTTGAACAATCCGTCGTCAGGAGTTCGAAATCAGTGTTCCGGAGGGCAAGCAAGGTGGAGATGAAATTGTGGTTGAGTTTGCAGGCAGTGGCAGCACAAGAATGTGCAAACATCCTCATGCTTGTATCTTCAAAACAACAGAGCTGGTGCAGGTTTGACTCCCCTGGCCGCTAGCGACTGCCTGAGACAGGGTTTGAAGGACAAATGTCACGTGTCTCCTCTTGAAGGTTGTTTTTATCAGTTGGGTTGCACCGTGCATAGGCAAACTGACCCCGGCCACGGATGAAGAGGCGGATGGGGACAGGGTTCGTTGAGCATCACAGCAACAACAGCTCTCCCAGCACATTCTTACGACTCCCGGCTTGCGTGTTGCCTGCCTCCTGTCTTGCACGCGGGTGGTGCTTCTGCACCACTCCTCTGCAGGAGGATATCAACGCCACGCCCACGGAAGGCTCCATTGCCCACGGGTCGGAGGCCGCAGAGGCCTGAAGAACGTGTGAAACTCCATAATTACTGTGCAGCACTGCGGAGTCTTCAGCCACTGGCTGGATGCAGGGCGACATTGACGAAGCTGCTCCTTTTGATTCAGGCCGATGCAACGAGGACGGTCGTGGCAGCTGCACAGCTAGAAGCAGCTACAGGTAGATGTCTCCACGAGAGGAGCCAGCATCGCCAAGTGCTGCAAGTCCTAGTGCTTTTCAAGAAACGTTAAGAGAAGAACATCTCGACGTAGAACAGGCCTCTGTGTCTTGGCCGCACGGTCTTCAGGCGCGCAACGTCTGTGCCCGAACCCAAACCGACTGAGGCACCGCAGGTGGGCGCAAAGGAGATCCTGGAGCGCATCCAACCGGAGCCAAAGCCAGAGGTGTGGCTGTCGTCCCAAGTGTTCCTTGAAAGGTTCTCGTGTTCGGGTTTAGACGGCGGTGCTTCAGAATGGAGCTCGAGGGACGGTGATTGCAAGCATGAAATTGCCACAGTCTAATCAAGGCACGCTGTCCGAGTGGCGTGCAAAGCTATCTGGCACACGAGGTAGACAAACAGAATGAAGACTTCAGCCTTGTTGGAGTTGAAAATCACCAAATTCCAGTCTTTTGCGTACTAGGCATGTGAGTCTTTGTTGCACGGCATGTCATGCTATGCCGTGTCGTAACTTGGGATTGATCATGGCACAGGTCCCCGAAGAAGATAGCGGCAAAGAGCGCGATGCTGCAGTCGAAAACGCCTGCATGCAGGCAGAGGAGGAGGTCGGAGCATGGAGAGGTGGAATTTGTGCATAGCAAAGCACAGCTTGGTAGGCAGAGCGGAAGCGCCTGGAATTCGTGGAGCGCCAAGCGATGGAGGAGGCTGTCCCTTCGTTGTTCCGGCATCTCGCTTCTATCATTCTTTCCATCAGGCTGAAAGACTCCGTCGTGAAGAGGAGCTTCTGGGGGAAGGTGACATAAGACTTCGCCTGTGCAAACTTGTGCAAGGAGGAACGTGAAGCTGCGAGAATAGCTGCCGAGAAGGCGGCTGAGGAGGCTGGTCCAGTAGGGTTCAGCTGAGAATGACTGATTGCGTGCCTGCCTGGGGTCCGTCCGCCATGTGCACAGGCAGAGCGGCAACGCATCGAAGACCTCAAGCGCCAGGCGCTAGAAGAGGCCCGCCGTTTGCATCTGTTTGTCCTTGCAGCAATGCTCGGCAGTCGTTCGGTGATGTTCTGGGCCATGCTGTGTTGCAAGGCTGAAAGGGCCGCCCGAGAGGAGGAGCGCGAGAAATGCATTGCCGCAGCGTTTTGACTACGATGAGACCTTTTGCTTACAGGCAGCTCGTGAAAATGCGTGCATGGAGGCAGAGGAGGAGGTGGGACCATGCAGAGGTCGTGATTGTGCCTAACAAAGCATGCGCTGGTAGGCAGAGCGGCAGCGCCTGGAGTATCTGAAGCGCCAAGCAATAGAGGAGGCCCGTCGCAGCGTTCCGGCATCGCGGTTCATGTAGTAGCATTACTATACTGGTGCTGCTTGCTAATTAGAATAGTTCTTGTTAGCACGCTTTTTTTTTGCTGTTCGGGGCGAAAAGCATCTACAAGACACGGCAGCCTAGCCTCAGACCTCCTCCCTCAGCTACAACATTCACAGAGGGAAGAACCCAACAAACTAGAATGAGGATTAAGTTCACCGAGAACAGGACGGCCGAAAAAGTGGCCGTGCCCGACTTTCGCGTTAAGGAGGGCTTATAACCAAAGAGAGTGCCACATCATGTATCAGGCTGAAAGACTCCGTCGTGAAGAGGAGCTTCTGGGGGAAGGTGACATAAGACTTCGCCTGTGCAAACTTGTGCAAGGAGGAACGAGAAGCTGCGAGAATAGCTGCCGAGAAGGCGGCTGAGGAGGCTGGTCCAGTAGGGTTCAGCTGAGAATGACTGATTGCGTGCCTGCCTGGGGTCCGTCCGCCATGTGCACAGGCAGAGCGGCAACGCATCGAAGACCTCAAGCGCCAGGCGCTAGAAGAGGCCCGCCGTTTGCATCTGTTTGTGCTTGCAGCAATGCTCGGCAGTCGTTCTGTGATGTTCTGGGCCATGCTGTGTTGCAAGGCTGAAAGGGCCGCCCGAGAGGAGGAGCGACAAATAGGTTTGGACGGCTGCAAGTGCAAGCACTGCAATCACAGATGCCAGGAAGCGCGCATAAAACGAGAGGAGGCAGAAATCAAGGGCAAGGTAGTGGTCTCTGTGCCTGGCTCTCACGGAGCTACAGACAGCTCCGTCGTAGGACAGCCGTCTTGCCTGAGGACTGTGGTGAACGATGAGACGGAAGAGCTGATGGCCAAGGTCGGGGCTCAACATGCAGTCAGTGCAGCAGTGCTTTCGCTGCCAGAGGCCTCATTGAGGCTTGGTTGCAAAGTTCTCGAACTTGCACAGGCCTTCTCTGACTAAAATTGCTGTCCACGTCTCCTAACCCGAGTGCAGGTTTGCATCCGGGAAGCACGGCTGTCGGTGACTCCCGCTATCTTCACCGAGCCCAAGCCCGAGCCCAGAATGGTGCGCGGAAAGATGGCGCCTTTGCTTCACATAAAAAAATTGGGGGAGAATTTGCACTTGCTTAAAGTGCCCTCAGGATTGCAGACGTGCCTTTGCCTAGGAAGGAATGCCATAGTAATAGCATGCTCGGATGCTGGAACAGCGCGTGGTAGGATCCAGAGTTCAAGGCCCGGAGAACCGAATCTGAGCTTTCTCCGTCGCAGCGGCGGCTGCAGCTACGACTGTCGGCGCTACTGTCGCAAGTGCAAGCAGCAAAGTGCTCCAGTGAGGCGCTTGTACCAGTGCCGTTGAAGCCCCCCACGCGATCACTCTAGATGTCTGATGACTCTGGTAGCCTGGATTGTGGTCCAGGGTACTAATACGCCCCAAGACCGCTCCCTACCAGAGGTCCATGAGCGGCACCAGTTAGGTACAGTTCGTCTGCACACGGACATCTGTCGGCTTCATTGGCATAGCGACAGATAGATACGAGCATGCCTCCTACGTTTGAAGGGTCCAAAGTGTTGGGTGAGCTCGAAAGCTAGCTCAGAGGTACGCCGCCAACTCCCACATCTCACTCAATCCAAGAGCGCAACTCCTCGAAATAAGACTCTTCGAAAGAAGTCTTCAAAGCAGAAAGCTGCAAAGGCTGATGAGTGCTTGCTCCCAGAATTCTCGAACATTGTATCCAGCATCTCAGACGGGAGCCCGCAGGTAGAGGAGAATGCGAAGTAGACCCCCGCGAGATGAGTGCAGGCACATGCCTGCTGACATGACTGTATATGGACTCGACTCCAAGAGCTCTCATGCAGATAGTTTTTGTGAGATGTGGCTACGAACTGGAGTATCCCTCCCCAAGTGCACCGCGGTCCATTTGTGGCTCCGTTGGTTGAGGAAACAAGACACTGTTCCCCCCTGCAAACAATCGTCCAGCAGTGATGAACTTAATTTTAACGCTACGCCGGGAAGCCGGGCAAGGGGGTGGCAAATGAATGCAAAACACGGGTGTCTCTGCAGGAGGAGGATTAGGTGGAGGGTACTTGAGGTAACCCCCAAGACGCCTGGGCCTGTGGCCTCGGCGGATAACACGGGCCGACAAACCTTGTGTAGGGGATCTGGCTCGCTGTTTTCCATATTTCTAGTAAGTGGCAATCAATTGGAGGGCCGTTCCGGAACATGCGTCGCCACAGATTCTTGTCAAGATTCCAAGGAAGTGCGCGAGCGCTCCGTGTGCGGCTCTCAGTTTTGCTTGGAACGTACTGTTTCGCGAAAGGTCGCGTAGCGAGGCTTTTGTTTAGTCCTGTTTTTGGCAGGGATGCCGTCCAAGGGGAGAAACCAGGGTATTATTGATAGGGGACAAAAAAAAACTTGAACGGTTCAAAGGCATACCCGTGTTTTGAGAGGGTAAATTGAACAGTCGGTTCCTTCGATTCTTTGGTTCCAAAGGGCGGGTAAATTGACACATCAACAGCCGAGTTTTGTCGTAAAGCTGAGCAGCTATTCAATTCATCCGCGGCTGGAGAAGCGTGGCTTCGCAGCACTCTGACAGAATTTCGTAGTACAAACACGTAATACAACCCTCCTCTTTGTCCTCCTCGTCCTACTGCTGTTACTACTACTACTACTACTACTACTACTACTACTACTACTACTGCTGCTGCTGCTACTACTACTACTACTACTATTACTACTACTACTACTACTACTACTACTACTACTACTACTACTACTACTACTACTACTACTACTACTACTACTACCACTCCTACTCTTACTCCTACTCCTACTCCTACTCCTACTCCTACTCCTACTCCTACTCCTACTCCTACTCCTCCTCCTCCTACTCCGACTCCGACTCCGACTCCGACTCCGACTCCGACTCCGACTCCGACTCCTACTCCTCCTACTCCTACTCCTACTCCTACTCCTATTCCTATTAGTAGCAGTAGGAGTACGAGTAGCAGTAGCGGTAGCAGTAGTTGTAGCAGTAGGAGTAGGCGTAGCAGTAGGAGTAGCAGTAGGGGTAGCAGTAGGAGTAGCAGGAGTAGGAGCAGCAGGAGTAGTAGGAGAAGTAGGAGTAGCAGTAGGAGTAGCAGGGGGAGTAGGGCGTAGGAGTAGGAGTAGTCGGAGTAGTCGGAGTAGTAGGAGTAGTAGGAGTAGTAGGAGTAGTAGGAGTAGTGGAGTAGTAGGAGTAGTAGGAGTAGTAGGAGTGGAGGAGGAGTATGAGTAGTCGGAGCAGGAGTAGGAGTAGGAGTAGGAGTAGGGGTAGGGGTAGGAGTAGGAGTAGTAGCAGTAGTAGGAGCACTTCTTCTGCTACTGCACCTGCAACGACGATTACTACTGTGCTCTTGCGGATAAAAACCCTGCTGATCTGCCGGGCCGAATTCCACCGGATACAACACCGCCGAGCTTTCGCTCTCCATGCCTCCGGCCCCCAAGTAGACCCTCTGTGTGCGGATGCGCAAGCCGCCAAAGATACCAGGAAGGTGGTGCCGCAACAACCGCTTGGTAATGTGGGTCGCAGGCTGAACAGCGACGAGACGCTGTTGGAAGCTGGTGTGGAGGCGAACCACTCTTGTGCTTTTTTGTGCTGCCGGTCAGCCTGAGTTCATGTGTCGACTCCCTGAGAACAACGCCGTCCTCAGAGCCAAGATCAGTCCCGCAGTCATCACGGCATCAAAGGTTCTGCCGCTTTTGAAAAATCCCCATCCCCGAGCCTTTCTTAAATTCCCTTTGAGGACCGCACGGCTCGCATTTGGAATGCAGAGCCGGCGGCCTGGGAGGGGCCTGGGCGGCCTTCACGCCAGCACTGCGACCAGCCGTGCCAGCCCACCGAGGACCGGGAAATGTGAGCTGATTCTGGAGGGCCACACCGAAGCAGTCTGCCGAAGTCCTAAAAATCATCACTTCAGCAAGTAGGAGTGAAGAGCAAGTTTTTGAGGCTCGGCTTGCATTTCACCAGACTGTCGCTATGCCGGGGCCTTGACGAAGTCAGATTTATCAAGTTTCCCAGATTTTCTGTCTTGACGAGGTGGCGACCTCTTCGGAAGATGGCTCCTCCAGGAAGAGTCCCTTTTTGCAACACCGGTCCGGGTGAATCTCCCGATTTGGCAGGCTCTGGTACGTGGACAGCGGCCGCTGCGCTCGAGTCTTGCCTTCCTCCAAGATGTGCAGAACGACTAGCGAGTCCTGCCTTCCATCTTGTACCGCTGCCACGGAGGCTGGACCACAAAGAAGCAGTTTACTTTGCCACTTTTTCGCCAGACAGCAAGCAGGCCAGGGTTTCTTGCCGTTTCTCCCTGATCCATGCAGTCTTGTTCCTGGAGGTCGTGACTGCATCAGAGGATGCCACGGCCAAAATCTGGGTGGTCAAGTTCCTTGCTCAGGGCTTCCGGTAGTCTCTGTCCTCCTCCCTGACATGCCAGCAGCAACATTCATGTGATCTCCAAGAACCGGCATCTGCAAGCTGACTTTGAAAGGGCCGGATTCCCGATTGCTTTTTCTCGTCACGGTTTACGACACGGCAGTGGCAGGCACCACTTCGCCGTCCTCTGGGCAACATTTTCCCCTGATGGTGGCTTGACTGCACGCCTGCGCGCATGTCATCCTGAGGAGCTTCGCGATCTTTGACGTGAGGCAGAAGCGTAACAACCACAAGCAGTGACGGAACGCTCAAAATTTGGAATGCCCTCCACTTACAAATCGTTCAAAAGGTGTGGAGCAGGCGTCACAGGTCAAAAGATTCCGTTCTGGTCTGGCAAGGCCAAAACCGGAGTTTGTGCCTTGCACCCGGAAAGGGGCAACTGCTTGCGACCTCGCAATTCTTCACACTCGGCAAGCGAGGATCGGACCCTCCTTGGGCAGAAGCCCGTGTACCTGGCCTCCTTTGCAAGTGATGGCACGACCTTCGTCACTACTAGTGCGTACCTTGGAAGAGTGGCAGCTCCACAGAAATCTCACTGTGTTTAAACTGATCGCAGCTTCCATCGTTCCCAAGGTGGTGATTCGACTGCCAAGATTTGCGACCTTGTGTGTGTGCCCGAGTTTTTGTTAACGCGATGTCGTTGTGCAGGGGTTACCTTGCAAGGACTGGAGAGGCCAAAATAGTTCTTACAGGCCACGACTCGCTTGCGCGACACCCAGCCTTGGCGGTTGCATTCGCAACCGTGCGTAGGCTTAGTCGAGCGAAGGAGTGCGGCATGCTAGGAGAGTTCGCTGAAAAAGGCTAGTGCATGGTTGCTGAAGGGAGGGCCTATTTTTGTCGCCATTATTTTTTTTGCTTCTGCTGCCATTATTTTTATTTTTTTTTTTGGCCTTGGGCCCTGTTACTCTGTTACTCTCATACTCTTATACTCTATTACTCTACGACTCTATTACTCTATTAATTACCCTATGACTCTATTACTTTCTTACTCTAAAAGCTCTATTACTCTAGTACTCTATTAGTCTATTACTCTGTTACTCTATTACTCTATTATTCTATTACTCTATTACTCAAATACTCTATTACTTTGTTACTCTATTACTCTATGACTCTATTACTCTTATACTCTTACTTTATTACTCTATTGCTCTACTACTCTATTACTCTATTGCTCTATTAGTTTATTCCTCTATTACTCTATTACTCTATTACTCTGTGGCCCTAGTACTCTTATACTCTTACTCGATTACTCTATTACTCTATTACTCCATTACTCTATGTTGTTGTAATGCAACGGCCGCCGCCACCACCACCACCGCCACCACCAGCATAAGACCACTACTATTACTAATACTAGTACTAGTACTAGTATTAGTATTAGTATTAGTAATAGTAGTGGTCTTATGCTGGTGGTGGCGGTGGCGGTGGTGGCGGCGGCCGTTGCATTACAACAACATAGAGTAATGGAGTAATAGAGTAATAGAGTAATCGAGTAAGAGTATAAGAGTAATAGGGTCATAGAGTAATAGAGTATTTGAGTAATAGAGTATTAGAGTAATAGAGGAATAGACTAATAGAGTAATAGAGTCATAGAGTAGCTATAGTAGAGAAATAGAGTAATAGAGTAATAGAGTAATAGAGTAATAATAGAGTAATAGAGTAATAGAGTAATAGAGTAATAGAGTAATAGAGTAATAGAGTAATAGAGAATAGAGTAATAGAGTAATAGAGTACTAGAGTACTAGAGTACTAGAGTAATAGAGTAAAGAGTAATAGAGTAATAGAGTAAGAGTATAAGAGTAATCGAATAATAGAGTCATAAAGTAATAGACTAATAGAGAAATAGAGTATTAGAGTAATAGAGTAACAGGGCCGAGGGCAAAAAAAAAAAAACATTAGCAGTACCAGTAACAGTAGCAATAGCAGTATTGGTAGTACGAGTAGTAGTAGTAGTAGTAGTAGTAGTAGTAGTAGTAGTAGTAGTAGTAGTAGTAGTAGTAGTAGTAGTAGTAGTATTCATTCAGAACGCGCACCGAGTACGATGTCTGCGAGAGGGCTGAGGCATGCGACCACTGTGGGACCGCACGGAGGCTCCAGCGAGCTGGGTCTCGTCACGCATTTGGTGACCCTCCTAATCTAGAGCTAACAAATCGATCTGTGTGCTCGCCGTCGTGACTTCTGGATCGCAAAACTCGACTGGTCTTGAAGCCTCGTCTGGAGATGCCGGCATCAATGAGCTTTCACTCGGCAGTGAAGCCACCGAGAGAACAGCTCCAATGACCCCAACATCATCATGAGCCGCCTGATTGAAAGAAGAGCCTGCTCCACTGTCCATGGGCCGATGTGGCCCGAGCAAGTTCCTCCCCGATTCCAGATCTCCACTGCCGTCGGTGGCATGGCGGCCATTGCCATTGCCGCTGTTGTAACCGGTGTGGTCACTGGCCCTTGAACTCCTCCTGCCTGCCGATTGCATCTGCGACTGTGTTGGCCTGTGCCATCGCAAACCGAGCAGCAGGTACGATATCCCGGGCTACCCAATCGCACACAACCAGGCATACCGCATGCTATGTTGGTAGCATGCTCGAAGATGCCAGCTCTCAGCAAAGTACGCTGGACCCTACCACAGCGCCGACTGTGTGCTGCACCATGAGTATGCTGACATGCACTACAGCAATGTCGATGACGCGAGGCAGCATACCTGATGCTGCAGTTTGGCGTCTGGCAGCCCTGAAGCGCCAGCTCAAACTCACGCTCGAGACCCGAGCGGTGCCTGCCATCCTCGTGGCCGCGCCGGTTAGAGCGACTGCAACCACTGGCTAAGAACCTGGAAGTCTGAGGCGCAGAGGCAGGTGCTGAAGTAGCGGCCGCCATCGGCGTCAGTGCCATGTGGACCTGAGGGTGTGCTGGGCCAGGGGTCGGGCTTACTTAAGACTTATGCAACGAGCGCAGAGCAGAGACACTTCGCGCAGAGGACTGCTCTAACTGCCATCCCAGCACAGTTCAACCTCTGGTTCGGAATTTTCAGCAACGACACTCCGCACCGGCAATCATCGCGCGCCGGATTGTAAAGCGCAGACTGCTTGTGCAGCGCTGCACAAAAGGAGAGGTCTGCACTGAGAAGTACCTACTGCACTCAGCACCCGCATACCGAAAGCAACAACAGACAGCCCCTACCCTAAGGAAGTACGAACCCCAGGATCTCCAGCTCAGCTTTCATGGGAGCTGCCAACCGCCGATATTGCCCAATGGTGAAGGCAATGAGCATAATACGATTGCCCTGAAGAGTGGGGCGTACACAATGAAGAACAGAGGCCGCCTGCAAGAGGATGCAAGTCAAGTGTGTCCGAATGGTCCTCCCCGGAATCAGTGTGCCCTCTGATTCCTCATAAGAACTGCCGTTGATGTCACTGACCCATAACTCCCCGCCTTCATGATGACTCAAACTGATCAGCAGTGAGGGCTCCGAAGCATTCTGCACATCTTTATGCGGTCCAATGCTGCTGTCGACCGTGATTGCGAGACTGGTCCAGCGGTGCGATGGCCTTGCAAGGAGTACCAGAGCATTCAGGAGAACGCAGACAGAGCGATGAGCAGCCGTGTGACGCGCAAGTCCACAGTAGGCCCGGTGCCCGCTTGCACCTAAGCGAAAGCCGAGCTGAGGCTTGGCAGCCTGTCGCCGAAGTTCAGGCTGAAACTCCAAATGGGAGACGACTAGCCTGACTGCCGTCCATAGAGTGCCCGCGCGCTCCGCTAAGACCATCATGGCATACCGATTGGAGGCCGTGCGGGAACCTTGCGGATCCTCAATGGGCCACGGAAAGGATGTGTGTGCAGGGCCAGGCAGTTCACGGCTGAGGCCATCAGCGTAAGAAGAGAAAACACTCCAGTTTTCCGCTGTGAGATTCTCTTTAGCAAAGATGTAGAGGTCATTCAACGGCGTCATAGACAGCGCCGGTGGCACAGGAGGGCCCATCTGCCGTTCGATCAGGGATCGATACGCATCCAGCAAGAGGCTTTCCTCGACTGCATCGCGGTATAGCTGGACAGGAAGCTCAAAAGCTTCAGCCATTGACCTACTAACCCCACGCTAGAGCCCCAACACTACCAGTAAGCAGACAGGCTCGCGTTGGTGAGCACATCAAGTGAAAATCGGCAAGCGGCTGAGTCCTCGACGGAAAGGCTCGACAAGTCACAGAGCCCCACAAACATGTAAGCAAAACTGCGGCGGAGAGCAACACAGAGTGAGAGGCCACTAGGGCCAGGCATTAACGACCAAAGCATGCAACGACAGAGGGCTTTTGTGCTGCATTGGAACTGGGGCAGCAAGCCCTCGTTGAACATTCCCAGTGTGCAATCACTGGCCCGTGTCCCGAACTAGGCCAACTAAATAACAGTTCGTCTCAAGTAATTTCTTGTCACGGGCTAGAGCGCGTCTGGGCCTACTATTATCATTCAGGATCAGACAATGCCATCCCGGTGTCACGGCATTTGCGGAGTCCGAGTTGGGTATGCAGAGGACAGCTTGATAGTGACCGGCTTGAGGGCAGGGTCCTAAGTGGATAACTACGAATCCAATGCGAAAGTACTCAAACCGAACTCCGAGACCCTGCGGCTCACTGAAAACAGGCAGCGCAACGCGTTCACCTGGCATCCATTGAAGGGGTCTGGCTACTTTGCGTTGCACACGACCATCATGCATGTAGCGCTCAAGCTGCAGCAGAACTACACCAGAGTGCTGGGAGAGGGCATGAATGGTATGCTGCCGGTGCCATCTGTGTATCAGCCCCTGAAGGGTGGGGCCTTGCAGCGCCAGGACGATTGGCGTCAGGAGAGCTCCTTCATCCGTGACCAGATGAGGGTTTTCCAGGCGTGCTTGCCACCTACCCTCATAAGCCTGAGGCCTAGCACTGCAGAGGAAGTGAGTGCCAGTTTGTCTATCATGCTGCCTGCTGACGTCCGACCAGCTGAGCAGGAGTGCGTGCCATGCAATGTTCTGCGTAAGTGGCCTACCTGGCTGAAGGACAGAGCGTAAAGCCGCCGCCGCACTGCCGTAACAGGCGTCCTCCGCTTGGGTCAGGCGTCCCATCCACGCCACGACCTGCGCCGTGGCATTTATGTAGCAGAGGTTATGGGGGTTTTGGAGTCTGGCTTGGGGCGCCTGCGAGGCATCACATCCACGCCATGCGACCAACGTAGGAGCCACCCGCGGTCCTACTTCGATCCGTCGCCCACCGCTGCCGGCGCTGCCTCCTCTGTGGTTCGTTCCCACGGCTTGGTGCGAACCTGCCAGTTCGAGAAGGACGTCGCCGCGAAGGAGTTCTCCAGTTCCCGCGCCAGCATCGTCTGTTGGCCTCGATCCGGTCGGAGGCGCAGACCAGCGATCTTCAGACAGGCGTTGTTGGTCAGAACCGTGAGGGCCTGATGTACCTGCTGTGCCAGTGCTCCGCGAAGCGAAAGGACCAAAGTAAAAGGCAAGACCTCGCTCTCGACCTTCCCCGTCAGCGGTCTGGTGGAGCGGAAGCGTAGTAGCACTCCCGGGCCGCCTGCATTGTTGATCACTTTTTGAACCGCTTCCTGAGCTTCGGCATACGGAAGAGGAACCTCAGTGGAGCGTTCGACCATCTGCTTCTCCGGCGACCACTGCTGGTAAACCCACTGCGGTGTGAGAGCCGTGGGCCCATCCACCAGCCATCCTACGGCCTTCAT